ATTGCAATAAATAAATAAAATGGAGATAAAAATAAACAGTTAATAACTTTAATCAATGCTTGATTAGGTTCAATACTTAAATGTTTCATTATTTTATTTTATTTTTTAAAATAAAATATTTGCTATCATAAATACTATAGATTATATTTCCTGTATCTATATTACTTATTGTTTATAAATCTATATTTGTTTCAAATAAATGAAATATTCGTGTAAAAATCCTACTATACATATCTTATATTAAAAATATAAACTTGTATATTCAGTACACTGGTGTTCCTCAAGATAGTATCCTAGGTTCTATCATTTATACAGTTTATACAGCTGATATCCCAACCTATTCCAACACTGTCATCACCATGTATGCCGATGACACATGTATCCTATCAGTAAACAATGACCCATTAAATGCATCCCAAATGTTTCAATCACACATCATAAATTTTGAAGAATGGTGTCAAAACTGGAGGATTAAAATAAATTTCAATAAATCCCATCCGTGATCTTCTAATGTAGACATATGATTAGGGTGCTACCATTCGGTAGTTTATCAACAAATGTTTTCATGTCATTATATCCATATGTTCAACTTTACTAAATGTATTTCTTTAATATAGTTGTAAATATCATTAAGAAATAAAAAAACAACATTGTACATTAAGATAAAGGGTAAAATTTATTCAAATTCAATTATTTTTTTATTAAAACAAGTTTCAGAGACATCGATTGAATATTTTTATTCATTAAATCTAAACAAAGAAAATAATGCAGTTAATTTTTAAACAAAAATTTTTCAAAGATTTTATTTTTTAAAAACTAACCACAATAAATAATATTTATAATTAATTACTCTAAAACAACAAAATTTTCCATAATTCTCAAGCAAGAAATAAAGTAAAAATAATAATTAAATGTGTGTATTACCTGTTAGTTATCCCAGCATATTTATACTCTTTTCTATAACAGAATTCAATACATGCTTGAGGATTAACAAATTTTTGCTTTAATGCCTTTTTTGTTGCTAATATTCTCTCTCTTGTTCCTCCATCGAGGAAACAGCCAATGTAACTTGGGTCTGTTTCATTGGACAATTTTTCATTAATTTCATAAACATTCACTCTATCGGACCCACTACATATTTCATTCATGTCCACATCACATCTATAATAACTGTCAGAGATGTCGGAAGAAACATCAAATTGTGGTCTGCTGTTAGAACATAAACAGTTAAAACTGAAAGTTCAAAAACAATCTGTTATGACAATTTGACAAAATGTATTCACACATACATGAAAATTAAAAACTAAATACAAAATAAATAGGAAATGTTTATTTTTATTTTTTATTAGGTTAGCCTATTGTTTATGTTTTAATATAAAAAATCACGTTTTTCTTTACTTAACTTTTGCTATTTTTTCTTTTCTTCAGATTTTGCTTTTTCTTTTTATGTATATTTTTTCTTACCATTAAAACTATAATTATTCTTGAGAAGATTTTATTTTTATTTTTTAGAGTTTACAGATTATTATTTAAGTTATTGTAAGTATTTTCATTATGTTAGCCTATTGTTTATGTTCTAAACATAAAAAATCAATGCTTTTTCTTTACTTACTTTTGTTTGTTTTTATTCTCCAGGTTTTATTTATTTTTCTTTTCATGTATATGTATTTATTTTTTTCACATTACAATTATAAGTACTATTGAAATTTTATTTTCATTTTTTTAGTTGTTTACATATCATTGTATAAATTACTGTAGATATCATTAGAATATTTATTAAGTCAGTTAATTAAGTTAGTTTTTGGCTAGGTATGTATTTTTATTTGTTCTTTATTGTTATTATTAGGGGACTTTGTTCCAAAATAAAGTTTATCTTTCTATCCTACTCTAAATCTAAAGATTTAGATTTGTTAATAGAAAAATATATAATTTTTTTTATTTTTATATAAATTAGGCCAATTATCACCAAACATTTTATTGATATGCTATTTAATTCGACGTTTAGGACGTTGAGGACTGCTCCAGTCCCTCCAGAAATGACGTAGGTGAAACCCCTATAGACCATAACGATTTAATAACCACTGAACATATTATTTGCGACATTAATGATGAATATATAACGGAGGACTCATCAAGACTTGAAAATGACACTTAGTTTGGCCTAAACGTCGAATTAAATAGCATATCAATAAAATGTTTGGTGATAATTGGCCTAATTTATATAAAAACAAAACCTCAATACACCAAATTTAGGATAAACGAACAGAAGAAATATATAATTTGTTATTAATTTAGAAATTACTAATAGTGTCCTCCAATTAAATACTTCAATGTCCTTATTTACCATTTATAATTATATGTATGTTGTCATATTATTATATACCATCATATTATTGAATTTTATCGTAGGTTTATATTGTATTATTTTATTTATCTATTTATTGTTGCAGTCTATGGAGCACCAAGGCCTCATTTAGAAGCTTCAATTTGGCTGCAAATAATCCATTGGCTGATTCATAAAACCTTCAACTCGGCTTTAACATTGTCACTCCTATATATACGAGATCTCACTTTTAACCTTTTGCCTTCAGGCTTTTCAAAATTTTCAACCTTTGTAGCTTCTTATGCTCGATAAAAATGACGATATTTAGCAAAGTTTGAAGTGCTCAGAATGCTTTAATTTATTTTTATCTAATTAATGTTGCATGTCTCTATGTTTTAAGGTTATTAATTTCAATTAAAAATCAGTTATTATCATGATAATAGCTGAAATCGAATAATTTTATATTTGTAGCTAAATACTGTTTTTAGAAATAAAAAAAGGAAAGAAACCAATCATTTTCTTTGCCTTACCTTGAATGAAGACCAGCATATTTGAAGCCTTTATTCTTGCAATGATTCACACATATTTGTGGAGTAAGTTTTCCTCTCAAAAAAAAGCCATGATTTGAATCAAATCTATTGTGAAACTCTTTTATATTACTTTTGAAACATCCTAAATGAGTAGCAAAATCTAAACCTAGAAAAATATTAATTAGTCAATAGAATCAATATTATACAATGTATTTGTAATATTAAGTGACAAGATTTACCCTATAAATCTTAACAATGAAGATATAAAAATACATCCAAGAGAGTTGGTCATCTACCTCGGTATAAGATTCAGAAGAGGATTGAACGTTACCCCTCACTTGGACTACCTTATAAATAGAGTGGCCCTAGCCTTGAGTGGCCGAAACGTCTAGGAGGCGCCTTAGATATCAAGCAACCATGACCATTTATAATGGAGTGATAGTAATCTGAGGTAGCATCTCAGGGAGTTGGAGGGAGTTTCCATGATAGATCTCCATAAAGGGACATCGATTTCCTATGCTGAGCCTGATGATCCAATGATAGTGGACTGCAACACCTTAGAGACACTTATGCAGGGGTGTCCAGAAGGGAATTTCATGGCTCAAGTTGTGCCAACATAATTTTTGAAGGGGGCATATTTTGGCGGGTTTTTGAATTTTTCAGGGTGGCAAATTTCGACAGGGTTATGAATTTTCAGAGTTAAGGACAACAGATCGCAGCAACAATAATTGTATATAATCTACGATCTTTCTAATTGTACCTTAGCTAGCTATCTTTTTAAGAAAAAGTAAGGAATAAATGAGAGGAGAGGAGGAGTAGCTTCTTGTGCCATGGACCTTGAGAGTGATGGGCACCTCTGCGCTTAAGGCCATACTTCTGAGGGAAACTGGACTCTGGGTCCTATCTGATAACGATTTGCTTGAGTTGTTGACCAAAGAGAACTAGCAGTTTTATAAATATTTTGAATACAGATGGAAAAACGAACCCTGCTCATTCTAATATACAAAGGAGAGGACCATTCTCTGAACAACCGCCTGTCAAAGGAGGCTAAGAAAAAGATACAGACCGCCTGGAAACTAGTGCATGACGTCCAGCCTGTGATAACTAGAGTTTGATTAGAGACACCCATTTTGGAAGGAAGGGCGATAAATAAATAAATGTCTTCTTCATATTCATTATTTTACATATTTATGCATCAGAGCACACGAATAAATCAAGTAAGCTCTGTGGATATAAACGGATTTGTCAATACTCGGTTACTTTCGGCTTTCTTCGGAAATCTAGGAATGGCGTGCTCAGGGTGATCTTGAAACTAGCCACCATCTTGGATTAGTGAGACGGAAATAATATCGAAGCATATCGACACACATAAATGAAAAATCGAATACCATATCACAGAAAATGGTCGACGATAACTATCGCGGGTTTTCTTTCTTAAAAAAAAAAAAAAAAAAAACCTGTACCACTACAACCCATGAAGGATCTGGGGTTCAGTACTATTTAGGGAAAGTACTGTTTCTAGGTCAACGGCTGTGCAAGGGAGGTGATTTGACCGAGATCACGCTCAACCGCCAGGTTTTCCCCCTTAATTAATTATTTAATTATGGGTACCCACTTTATAGAGGCTGGGTGTGCCCCAGGAGGGACTCTCAACCCAGGGTCGCCCCACGGCCAATGAAACAGATAAATAAATTTTCTGCCATGAGCCGGGGTTCGAACCTGGGACCTTTGCATTGGAAGCTCAGTGCCCTACCACTGAGCTACCCCACTCCCCCTTTCTTTCTTAAAACCAAATAAAAAATAAAGGTTATATTAAAAAACTGTAAATGAAATTATTTAGAATGTAACTTTTCGTTTGTAGTAACAAATTATTTTTAAGAAAAAAAAAATGTTTAATTGGATTATAGTTTACACAATAAGAAAGCATATGTTTGATAATGTACAATTATAACCTCCATTCTTAAATTTTGAATTATAATGGACAGGGTTGTATCAACTTGAATTCTAAACTAATTTTTCTTCTCGCAAATAAATATGATAAGATTTATATGTTTTTATCTCTCTTCAAAAGGTGTTTCTATGCTTCTGAATTATATATCCAATACTTATTTTTACTTTGGCATTGTTTCATATTTAAGATAGAAAATATTTATTCGTAATTAATGCTCCGGGATAGAAATAGTGTTGAAAAAACAAGGTTGTATTGTTAGTTCTTAAATTAAGTTGAACTGTATGGAAAGTGTTGCTATGAAATACTCACCAGTAAGTATTTATTTCAATATCATAAAAAAAAAGAAGATAAAGATTAGTAAGTTAATAAAGGAATTAAATTAACCCAATAAAAATTGAGAATGTGGGTGTAACAAAGGCATATACTCCAAAAGTTACATGCGAACTATGAATGTTAAAAATTTTTAGCTAGTATTTTCTAGTGGTTAGATTTTTCTATTTAGATTCTACCTTTTGGTGTAATATTCCTTAAATGAATCAAATAAGTAAATAATAAGTCGTTTATATTTTTATTTTTACTTTATATGAGATGTATATCAAAGATCAAGTCTTCCTACATCTATCCTATCCTACAGTTCAAACCGTGAATCCACTCACAGAAAACAAGATCGCCTCTTTCAAAACTTGTTCCCTTCTCAATGAACTAAAACCTTCGAACGTTCCTTTCTTGCTTGCTCCACTGCCTTCTAGAATTCTCTACCATCTAGTAAATCGACCATGCCTCTATCCTGCATTCATTGATGTGCCTTCTCATATCCCAAACAGACACTCTACAATCTTGAAATTATATTTTATAAATAAGGTTTTGATAGAGATAAATGATAGTTATCAATGTTTAAATTTTAACTTTTATAACCAATTCATGGAGTTTCTATATTTTTCTTTTCCACTTTTTTTTTATCATTCGATTTTCGCTTTTATATCTATATTTATTTGAAGAATTTTTTTTTTTTGTTGTTTATATATTTTTAATGAAGATACTGTATAAATTGTTTGGATTTTTATTAATGTAGTTTTTGACCAGATATGTTTTCTGTTTACTTGTACACTCTCGATACATCTTTTTTATTAACGAAAAGTCTCGAAATTGGGATGTTTTTAATCTGGAGATCACCAACCTTTATCTATTAAGTGCTAAAAACTCATTAACATCTATTTGCTTTCCACTTGAATTGTAATAAAATTTGTTCGAAAAATCGAGAAAAAAAAGTGGCCTACAAAAATATTGAGTCGTTTGGCGTGACCTCCATCTGCAACATCTCAAAATAGCGTGGTCATATAGGCCAAACGGTCCAATATTTTTGTTAACCACTCTTTTATTGATTTTGTGATCAAATATTTTTTTATTTATTTTGTTTTTTCCTTCCTCGCCTTTTAGACAATACAGAGGTTTTCCCGGACCAGAGGGGTGAGGGCGGGAGATTCATTTCTGATCATTTTCGTAGATAAAAAAATTGTAGGTTACTATTCACGAAGTTTTAGCCAGATGTTAATAATTTTATAAAAAGGTGTACCTCGGACTAAATAAATTGTATCAAACGCTTTCAGATGCGCAAAACATATCGTCGGCTTATTGTAAAAAGTCACTAAGTGCATTTTTTATATAGGTTAACTTTCAAATATTTTTTTTATGAATTTCGATGTTATTTATCTATTCAAAAGCACAGACGGATCTACGGGGGAGAGAGGGAGAGCTTTTGGGCTGAAGCCCCTCTCAAAATGGTAAAATATAATAATATTTTATGGGAAAAAAATATTTTTTATTTCTTAATTAATGATATTTACAACTGTATAAAAGAAATACATTTAGTAAATTGGAACATTTTGTGATGGATATAATGACGTGAAAACACTTGTTGAGAAACTACCCAATGGTAGCACTCTAATGAAATGTCTACATTAGGAGATGACGGGGCCATCTTCTTTTGAGACGCCTCGGAGGGTTATCAGGAATTGAGGAGGAAGCAAGATTAGAAACGAGAGGGTTTGGATGATTCTGAAGTTTATTATGGAAGGATAGGATTGGGCCAGATCTGAAACAAATTAAGGTCATTGTGGATGGTTTTATTTGTAACAAAGTAGGGGACATTAAGGATTTTACGAAGGATTTTGGATTTTAAGGATTGCATACGAGAGTCGTTTCAGTCTGGTATGGAAAAAAAATTATATGTTTAAGTATTATTGTTCGTGTAATTTAAAATGAATTTAAGAATCATTTAAACACCATTTCATATAGGTAATTAGTTTCTTTTTTTTTCCAAAGTAATTATCGTTATTTTTATGAAAAATTTTCGGGGTGCTGAAACCCCCCCCCCCAAAAAAAAATTAATCATTAATCCGCTAGCGTTCAAACGTGATGATAAATGCATGGAAATTACACAAACACTTTTATTTGTGAAATATAGCTAGCTATATTGAGTGCACAATTTTGTGATTTCACAAAGAAAAAATTCATCAAAGTTCTCAATTATTTGTGGTTATGAAATGTCACTTAATGAATTTTTTCAATAAACAGGCAATATTATAAAACACTTATATAAAAAAAATGGCACGTTCGATTTGGCCCAAATTTGGGGCAAATGAACAAATAGTCTCGTTTTATTTCAATTTATACATAACAATTAAACTTAATGTAATTGTTAAGATTATGTTGGCTGTGAAATGAGGTCGGCAGTAAACATGTGGCATTGGGAGGGAACTTACATTAATTCTTAAGATTTATAAGCCTTTTTTTCATCGGATCATTTTTTTTCTGTTTTAAATGAAATGCATGCGTGTTTTTCTATTTACCCAACACAAATTATGAAGAAGCTGTACTAATTAACTAGATATTTTTTAAAATATTATCATTGTTTAAAAGACAAATGGTTTCCATATAATTTAGTACCCTTCAGACTGATTTGAAGTACCCGATGTCATCGCTTTCCCATCAAATGCGGAAACAATCGCTAAGTGGCGTCGATTGCTGTTTATTGTTGAAAGCCAATTAGACGAAAACGTTTCGTCCTAGAGATCTTCTCGGGCCCTTAAGTATTTATTTCTGGGTATTTTCTATCAACTTTCAAATATAAATAATTATTACAATATAATTATTCAAAATCGTTAATGGAGAAAATAAAATTGTTTTATTGTTGTGCAATTTTGCTCGCATTAAAATTAAAAAAAATAAAAAACGCTGCGAATTATTTCACAATGGTTTATTATTTCCAAACAATTATACATCTAAAGCAACATTACCTTCCTAGTGACAAATAAAAAGTGATTCCAATTATTGGACTAAACCTTATTTTTTTAATCATTAGTAATATGCTAAAAAAATTAGCATTACTTCAGTAACACATTCAAAACTCAAAATCCTTTGCAGTATAACATATAAAAAACATCTAGAGATTATATTTTTTCTCCTAATTTTCCGATTTTAAAAATATTTTTTTAGGAAATTTCGTAAACTTTTTACAATATTTACAAAAAAGTGTATACTTTTTGAGTTATTGAGAATCTAATTTTACCATCCCTCGTAACTTTTTATCCAGCTTCTTTTCGTTGAAGTAAGTTATATAGACAAATTTAAAGGGCATCGAGAAGAAGACGTTAGTGAAGTTTCATTGAAATAGACACATTCGTTTAGGAACTGTAGTCAATAGCAACGGAGATTTTTCGGTCGCCATATTGAAAGGAAAATGCGAATAGAAATGTCGATGGAGGATAATCCTCGGGTGACCTCTAATTTTAAATCTAAATTTGAAAAAAAAAACCGGTCCAGTAGTTTCGGAGAAAATGCGCGGACGGTGTACAGAGAAAAAAAAAATGTATTCGTTTTTCGAATTCTACGTATCCTGAAACGTGAAACCTCAAATTTTGAAAGGTTAGATTTTTGAATTTTTTTGTTCTATCACAATGGTTCATTATTGAAAATAATAAACCAAAATTGTATGAACCTCATACTTCATAATATTAATAACACAGTGTCAAAAGTGTTTACTAAAATTCTTATGTAACACGAACTAACATTAATATTTCCATTAAGAAGCTTACCTTGTGTCTCCGATAGTAGGAAACTCCATACACTCACTAATAACGTCCAAGTACACTTTGTATAATTCATTATATAAAAATATTAATTTAAGCTCAATGGCATGATATTATAAATACAAATAAAAAATATCGATTCTTAAATTAAAATAATTCAATTGAATTTTAAAAGACCAGAAGAGGCAGAACTTGTCCCAGACAGACTAGCCAATGGAATGCAGTCTGGTTCATCCAGAACATGAATGATGTCTTAATTGTCTTCCGAACAAAGCCACCTTATCAGATATCATTCCAAGATGCCAAAAAACAAAACAAAAAAATTTAACGGTTGAATTAGCTAGAGGTCTTCAACATTAGTATTCTCACTATCTTAGCACCAAGTTTGATTTATTCATCATTAATTGAGTTATTCGTAAAAAAAAAATAGTGAAATATTTCTTGCATTAAAATAACAGAAAACCAGAGTCAGACCTTAAAGTTTAAATAAATGGAATAAAAGAACAGCAAAATATTATTAATTGAAGATTTGGAAGGTTTATCTGCTACATAAACAAATACGCTCATTCTTAAATATTAGACCTATATTGCATACTTTCGAATACATTGCTGAAGAGATGAGTAAATGAAGGTGTGTAGCTATTCAGAGTTACCGAGTGAGGGGAGGGGAGGAGTTACTGGCAGTGTTCGGCGTTATTTAAATAAATTATTTGAAATTTCATCTAGATAACGAATAATAGATAAATTTTTATTCGTTATTTCTTATTCGACGATATTTGGACAGATAATTATTCGTTATTTGTTATTTACAAATAATATGCATTATCTGTTATCTATTATTCGTTATTTAAGATGAAAATCCGATTCGAATGATCTTTTTTGCAATTTTAGAATTTCTTCGATATTTAGGTCTGTTTATATGTTTTAGGGGGCCGTTTTTATGAAAATACTGTCGGATTTGAAATAACGCCCTCTCCCCCCCCCCAAACTGACTTTTTGTAACTTTTCAGATTTAATTGATATGGGGGTCGACTATTATGTTTTGGGGGGCTCTTTTTATGAAAATACTGTCGGATTTGAGATAGCGCCCTCTCCCCCCCTAACTGACTTTTTGTAACTTTTCAGATTTAATTGATATGGGGGTCGACTATTATGTTTTGGGGGGCTCTTTTTATGAAAATACTGTCGGATTTGAGATAGCGCCCACATCCGCAACGACTTTT